ACGTTTCAGACGAAGGAATAGATTCCTTGAAATCTTGGATTAAAAGTGGCCAAGACGGAAAACGTGCAGCATTTTCCCCGGAAACACTACTCAGAGTGCGATTAGATAAAAGTCCCACATTTATTACTATGTCGTCATCAGATTCTATCCATTTCCCATTCTATTCGACATGTCTTGCAAATGGGAATCCTTACGCTCTGTATCTGAAGAGTCTGCAACTAGGGTTCGGCTCCGTAGATCTTTTTGGCGCCATATCACTGTTGAATGATTGCAAAGATAGTTTTCCATTAGCCAAACTCCTCTACATTTGCCTAAATAGATGCGCAGGTAACGAAGTCGTTGATTCATTTCGTAGTTTCAAACGCGAGAACACATGTTTCTTAAATGTAGAGAGGATGGCCAAGACTCTTATTGAACACATCTCAGCTTCAGAGCCAAAAAGGGTGGGATCTTACGCTGAACTCTTTCACTACGAAGAATATCCAGATTGTTGGCTACAACATGAGTTTTACAAGGAATATAATGGGGAAAGATGTTCACATTGCATCTATTTCTACCTCTTCAGAGATATCCTCTTGCTATCATAGAGCTCTACATTAAACCTTTTGTTATTTTGAGATGTCTACATCCCCCTCAGTTTTATATAATTTTGCATCTTCTGGTAATATGGGATGTCAACTGCTAGTTATCCATCTGTAATGACATTAAATTTTTAATTATCTTATGGCTCATCTCATTTTGTAACCAACAATGACTTTATGATCTTTTATGGGATATATCACTGACAAACAAGTCGCCTCTTTAAGGCTTATTTATATTAAGGACTTTTATGAGCATAGTGTGAGGCGTGTTTATGCATTTCACTCTTTCACAAACTAGTGTCTACTTGTTTCCATAAAGTTTGTTTATCCATCATTTCCCTTCTTTCCTACTATATTCCTGTGGATACTTTCTTTGCTTGTCCACAGCGAAACTTTAGTTCTTTTGAGATGTCTGCATCGATTTGTTACTTATATAGAACAAATTTAAACTTTATGTTACACAAATACACTAAATTAAAACTTAAACTTTTATACCATTCAAAATAAATCATAAAAGTCATTACACCAATGCAGAGAGAAAAACAATGCTGAAACATGCTTTTCCAAAATATTCCCAACAAGCCATTAATGTTTGATCCCCCAAAAGGCAAATTAATAACAATCAAAATAGAAACCAAAATAACAACCTCAGTCTATTAAGTAGGAACGAATCTTTCATATTGGATTAGAACAACTTGTCCTGTTATGACCAATTCCTTTGCAACGAGAACACCGGTTCTGTTGCAACCTTCCAGTCTTGGGTTTCTAAAATGTACATGAGGCATAAAACAAAACGAAAACTCTTAATATATACCTAAATCATTTACAACAGCCAAAATTAAAAAGGGTTTAATATACCCTTACCTTGTATTCTCCTGTTGATGGTATTCTGGCTTCCTTAGGCCTCCCTGAAGGTCTCCTTGTATATGGTGGCAGCATGGATCGGTGTTGGAGGGCTTCTGGAATGTCTTCTTCTTTCGCTATTGCCTCAGGGTAGATTACTCCTTGGTAAGTCCCAACCCATGAGTGAGGTTTGAAACAGTCATCAACTAAAGCTTTGTGGGATAAGCCAATGCTATTGCCAGCCAACAGAGCATGAGCACAAGGAATCTTAAGTTTATCATACCTCTTGCATGTGCACTGCTTCTTTTCAAGATCTACTACATGTCTTCCACCTAACCTCCCAACAATCTCAAAGCACCAGCTGTTTATCCTTGCAACCTTGCTAGCGTTTGATGATAACATTAACTTTGTTATTTGCTTGTCAACTTCTGGAGGAACTGGACCCGTATGAGCTGCTGACTTCTTCCGACGCGCATTAAACCATCGAGTTAACATAGACCTAATAAATCTGATCAATTCCACAATATGGGAAGATCTCCCCTTGCCCAAAGCCTTGTTCAACGTCTCAGCTATATTACTAGTCATCAAATTGTATCTCTGTCCCTGAAAATATACCCTACTCCAATGAGCCATCCCTATTAGATGTAGATAATGGCCGCAGTCTTGGTTCAGGGCATTAATCTGACCATATAGCTCTTTAAACTTAGACGTTGTAAACTCATATCCTGCGTTTTTGACCAACTGTGTCAATCCTTTGTTCTTGTACCTAGCTTGGATATTCCTACAGAGGTGAATAATGCAAGCCCCATGATTTGCCAGTGGAAAAATCCTCTTGATTCCAACATTAATTGATGATTGCCTGTCTGATAAGATAGTTAGACTTTTGCTGTCAGCAATTATCCTCTCCAACTTGCTAAAGAACCATGTCCAAGATTCATCGTTCTCACTATCCACTACAGCAAATGCTAGTGGAAATACTTGGAAGTTTGCATCTTGCCCACTTGCAGTTAGTAGTACACCCTTGTACTTTCCTTTCAAATGTGTACCATCTACAACCAATATTTTTCTGAGATGCTTAAAGCCAGCTATTGAAGCCCCAAATGCTAAAAACATATATAAAAACCTCTCTTTCCCTTCATCTTCATCTTCAGTTTCTATATGTGTTATACTTCCTGGATTAGTTACCTTCAAAAGATGCAAATATTCAGCCAAACTGGAATAAGAGTCTTCGTCAGTGCCGCTCATATCTGCCATAGCTGTTTCCCTAACTCTCCAACACTTATGGTATGACGCATCGACTCTCAGATCTTCTAGAATAAGTTGTTGAAGATCCATTGGGACAGGACCATTGGTAGGATCACTGAACTTTGCCTTATATACAGAAGCTATCACTCTTGATGTTGCCTTCTTCATGTACTGCCCTCTAGTTTCTACTGAACATGTGTGTTGAAGACATAATTTCTTAATTTCATAGTACCCTGTTCCTCTGATGACGGTAGACAATATCCTCCAATCACATTTCTCATCTGAGCAACTAAGAACAAAATAGTTATACTTGGTTCTGGTTTGCTTGAAATGAAACATATTCTTTATCGCATAGATTGCCATCCCTATTTGTGCATCTTCTCTGCTTGCATACACTTTCCCCTTGTATAACCCTTTTCCATCATCATCAATATCCAAATCAGGGATGTTATCTACTTCATACTCAATGTCCTCAAACAAAGGTGGGATATCGAATTCCTCATCATCAACTTCCTCTAGCTTCCTTACTGGCTTCCCCTTTCTCTGAGAGCCTCCATCATTCTCAATATGTTCTGATTTCTGACTAAATTCAGGTTTTACCCCTGTTCCACCCCCATTCACAAGTACAGCGTGGTCAAATACACCACTACCAGTACACATAACAACTTCTGGTGTCTTAGATCCATTAAAAGCACCTTCTGATGTCAGATTTCCTGCTTCCATATGATTTGACCGATACCTGACATCTACACCTCCTGTAGTCATTAACTCTTCAGCATTTGACCCAGCATAGACATCTTTAAGGAAATTACTCCAAAAGTCTTTATCATATCCGCCACAGGGCATACTCTCATCAACCATATCACTTTTTTCTTCTTTTTCCTCTGTTTCTGTTTCCTTAAAGAACTCATCTTCAACATCAATGAATTCTTCTTCTTCGTCTTTATCAACTGCGGCCGATTTAAAACCACTAGGACAGCCTATTTTTGCTTCTACTTCTAGTAATTCATCAAAGAAATCATCATCTCCAGGAGTCAACATAATGATAGGAGTTTTTGAACCCGCAGAAGATATTTCCCCAGCAATTGCCTCACCATTTTTTGAACTACTTCCAGTATCATAACTACAATCACTCTTTCTTTTACAACTTCCTCCAAGAGTTTCACAACTTTTTCTTCGATCCTCTCTATCTTCCCCAAGTTTATATCTATCAGTAGTTTCTTCAAACTTAACAAACAAGTTAAGACCCCTGTTTTCCCTAAGAGCCTTTATATAGTACAGCAAGCCTACCTCACTAGTAACTAGAACAGGAGGAGTCTTTTCCTTTGTTGAGAACATACTTCTATTGGGTAGAGAGTAACTCAGCAAAGGTTTGACCGCTTTCACACCAAACTCTTCCACAATGGCTTGGTTAAACTGTTCCAGTTTGATTCCCTCATGAATAGGAACAACCCTCGAGAAATGTTTGTTGCTAATCTCCAACTTCCATTCACCATTTGAAGAACAAATCCACTCTCCACAAATTACGATACAGAAGTCGTCCAGAGAACCCTAGACATATAAACCAAAAAAATTGTGTTAGTTTCGTCGAGCAGTACACGAATTAAAATGTAAATTTGGTGGATGGGTAAAACGATAATCTTACCTCCATCTCTAACTTCTCTTAGACAGCAATTGTTATCCAAAACTCAACAATTTTCAGCCAATACATATTCGGAATCCATTAGAAATTTTCGTCGGACCGTACGTAAAAGTTGGTACTCTGTAACCTGCGCCACAATCTCCGCCGTCCGCTTAATCAATCTCGACGGCCCAGATTTCGCTATACGACGACAATTAAAACCCGAATCGTGACCGTTCTTTTTGCATCATCTTTCCCTCGTCCGCCACGTCGCAATACTAAACCAAGAGGCCGAACCGGAATAACGACAAATCGAGTTGGTTTTACGGAGGGGCAGAAGCGTCATCTTTTTCTCCAGAAGTTTGATAAAGTGCCTCAAGTTTGGAAAGTGCCTCAAGTGTAACATCTTTCTCTAGAAGTGCCTTAATATGCAAATCTCCCTTATAATTTAAACCATGCCTAATAAAACAAAACAAGTAGCACGTTTTAACTTTTAACCGGGAACTGACGTAACCGGTATCAAATTGCCGAGAAAGATGGAAGGAATAAATAAATGTTATAATGTTCCTTTGTTGCCACTAACCCACAGGCTTACGTCCCATCATCATTCCTTCCCCGTTCTTTTTTTTTCTAATCGCCGACGATTATCTCTTTCGTCCGGCGAAAGCTATTTTGTCTCTTCAAATCCCCATAGAGCTAACCTCTTCATCGTCATCCATGTCTCCTCAATCTCGTTTCTCTCCTTAGTGATTGAGCTTTTTCTTCTTTCTCTGTAATTATTCCTTCTCCGTCGCGAATCCTCGCCGTATTTCAGAATCTAAATCTCTCTGATTTATTTTCCATACACTTACAGATTTTCTCCGATGAAATGTGATTTTTGAGCTCTGTTTATTTCAAATCGACGGCGATCGTTGAAATTTAATTGGTTGGATTAGTGTATAAGTTTGATCAATGTGTAAGTAAGAGCTTGAAGAAGTATCTGTTGTTGTTGTGAAAATCTCAGTGTTTGTTTGCTTTTTTTGTTGACTTTTTGAGATTGATGCTGGATCTCAATCTCGACGTCGACTCGGCCGAGTCTACTCAGAACGAACGAGATTCGGTTACTGTTAAAGGGGTTTCTTTGAATCAGATGGATGAATCAGTGACGTCGAACTCTTCTGTTGTTAATGCTGAAGCTTCTAGCTGCATAGATGGTGAAGATGAGTTGTGTTCTACACGAACGGTCAAGTTTCAATTTGAGATACTGAAAGGAGGAGAGGAAGAAGAAGAAGAAGAAGATGATGATGAAAGAAGTGCTGTGATGATGACTAAGGAGTTTTTTCCAGTTGCTAAAGGCATGAATTTTATGGATTCGAGCGCACAAAGTTCCAGGAGCACCGTTGATATTTCCTTCCAGAGAGGGAAACAAGGCGGAGACTTTATCGGCAGTGGAAGCGGTGGCGATGCTTCACGGGTGATGCAGCCACCATCACAGCCGGTGAAGAAAAGCAGGAGAGGTCCTAGGTCTAAGAGTTCGCAGTATAGAGGCGTCACTTTCTATCGGAGGACAGGGAGATGGGAATCGCATATCTGGTAAATCTACTTGTGATTGATTTATCTTTCAGATAGGTCTTAGATGAGTTGTTGATCTTTTGGTCGAAAAGGAAAGAACTTGGTTTATCTTTCAGGTCCAAGCTCTGGCCTTTAGATTTTGTATTAATCTTTTTCCTTTTTGTCAATTTCCTGGTTGCAGGGATTGCGGTAAACAAGTTTATTTAGGTATGGATTCTACTGGTTTTACTACTATGAATAGATTTCTGCTGTGCTCTTAACTCTCTAATAAAGTTTGAACTTTTTGAATCCAATAGGTGGATTTGATACTGCCCATGCTGCAGCTAGGTAATGCCTTTGGAAATTATGTTGTTTTGTATGATCTTCAATTGATCCGTCACCTGTTTTTCATAAGTTCATCATCGGTTCGTGTAGGGCGTATGATCGAGCTGCTGTCAAGTTCCGGGGTCTGGAGGCTGACATCAATTTCATTATCAGCGATTATGAAGAGGATCTCAAGCAGGTTTTGATTACAGATGTACAAATGAAGACATGTACGCATTGATTTGTTCTTATCTGGTTTTCCAACTTTACAGATGGCGAATCTTTCCAAAGAGGAAGTTGTGCAAGTACTTCGGCGTCAGAGCTCCGGTTTCTCAAGGAATAATTCAAGATATCAAGGAGTTGCTTTGCAAAAGATTGGCGGGTGGGGAGCTCAAATGGAGCAGTTTCATGGAAACATGTAATGAACTTTTCCTGGGATCTAAATATGGGCTTTTACACATGCAATTTCTTTGTGTTTTTGTCTGAATGTGGTTGTCAGTCATTGCTAAAAAGAGTGAAGTGCCTCAGATGAAGGGTTTGGTTATTTTTCGTTAATGTGAACGAGGTTTCTGTTAGAACCATTAGCAGGAAGACCCGTTTGTGATTATGGTTTATATCTAGAGATTCTGATGGCTATGAGACATTTATATCTATCTTGGGATGATTGTCATCTGAGTATAAGCTGTATGCTCTTGGTGATTGTAAATCACATTATGATGAAGTTTTTTATCCTGAATTATTGATCTATTAGGACAATTTCAAGACTAATTGCTCAGATTCTTATGGAATTAGGGCTTGTGACAAGGCAGCCATACAATGGAATGGAAGGGAAGCTGCTTCCTTAATTGAGCCTCATGCATCCCGGATGATTCCCGAGGCAGGTAATGTAATTGATGCTCGGGTTCCTTGCTTGTTAAACTGGTCAATGCTATGCAGCTTTTGCTGTATCATTGATATCTCTGCTCAATATGTGAAAAGCTGCTACTAACTTGTTTTTCTGATCTTATTATTTAGCTAATGTTAAGCTCGACCTCAACTTGGGAATCTCTCTTTCACTGGGAGATGGTCCAAAGCAAAAAGAAAGGGCTCTCCGGCTTCACCATGTCCCTAATATTACTGTATGTGGAAGGAACACCATGGTGCAATTTTCTCTTTAGTGCACCAAATATGATTTATTGTACTTTCATATGCGTTTTGCTGCAACTGTTAGTCAAATGTTTCTCTGTCGATATGTCATAGCAATCTGGAACTGAAAGATACTGTCTCATTAGCTAGCTCGAGCCCTCATGGTTTTTCATTTATTGATGAATTTCTTGCTCTTCCATTTGATCTATTCACAGATGGAGAACCACATGGCTGCAGCGGCATGTGATACGCCTTTCAATTTCTTGAAGAGGGGTTCAGACCATCTTAATAACCGGCATTCCCTTCCTTCTGCGTTCTTTTCACCCATGGTAAATAGTAAATACCATAGCACACATCTCGTTATATCCAACTATTTGTCACTGCCACACATTTATAACTTGCACAATCTTTTGTACCTTCTGTCCAGAACTAGTACACCATATGAAATAGGATGACAACTTTAAATTTATCGAACTTTAATGAGTAATTTGTGCGATAAGAAATTCAGTTAGATGTTCATCAAGTGGTTACTGTTGTGATATTTGATCAGTTAAGTACTTGAGCTCAACTCTTTGATATCCTTTGAGAAGAGTTCTATGTTGTTGCTTGTTAGTTCTACTTCTCTGAGTTCTATGTTGTGATATTCTTGAAGATTTGAATGAATAATCTTCTGCCTAAAAGTTCAATTCTTGTCTCCAGGAAAGAACACCAGAGAAAGGTCTTATGTTACGTTCTCATCAAAGCTTCCCAGCCAGGACATGGCAAGGGCATGATCAGTCCAGTGGTGGGACCGCCGTAGCAGCTACAGCATCGCCTCTGTTCTCAAATGCAGCATCATCAGGATTCTCACTCTCAGCTACACGCCCACCTTCATCCATAGTTACTCCTCATCCTTCTCAGCCCTTCTTAAATATGAATCAGCCCGGTCTCTATGTTATCCACCCATCTGATTACACATCTCAGCACCACCACAATCTCATGAAGCGCCCACAACCACCACCATAGCTTCCTCCTTCTTCCGCCTAGCTCAAGGTAAGACTTTCTTGGAAACAACAACATTCAACTCATTATTTTGGCTCAGCACACAAACTGCAGTTTCGTCCTCTTGTCCAATACATTACACTTACAATCCAAAAGAAAGAACCCATATTTGATGGAAGACCCCTAGGATTTGAGATGTTTGTATTCATATGAATCTTGATGGAAACATGAAAAGTATGAGAAAGTCTTAACGTATAGAAGACTAAGGCAGAGTTTCCAAGTTTTGTAGCATTCTCTACCTCCTGTTTTCTGCTTCTCTGTCAATCTTAAACACATATTTGAGGCAATAGTTTCCCTAAGATCCTACAAAACTACAAGTAATAACATACTTCGTATGTAAACGTGCAGGTTCTACACACCCTGAGGTTGGAATAACTTGGACCCGACCGTGGAAGGCCAGCCAATACGACGATTTCTCCCCAAATCTATTGTACTTATTGTCATTATGTGGTTATCTTTCTGCTTTTTATTTGTAACATAAACTGAGGGCTAATACCAAAACAGAAACCCAAACCCATTTGTCATTTTACTATTATGTCTCTGATATTAATCTGAACAATGTAAAGTACAATGCATTCTATATGTATGAAGCTATTGAGAGACTTTTTCACTACTTGTTGCAAATAAATTTGTATAGATCAAATAGTTTCAGAAATTAAAAACTCGTACACGAACTCAATACAACACAATAGTCACTAAAGATTGATATATATAAATGATCATCCACTGATAATGTGAATCTTGATTGTTTGAACCAGGTTATTATCACCAGTCTTCTTGATCTCACACATCATCTTATCCGTTGTCTTCACTTTATTCCTTCTGATGATACTGCCAAATCCCTTGACAAACACACTGCCATTCGTCTGAATCTTGATCTTTTTCTCCAATGTCCCAAATTTTTTCACAAGTGGGTCGACGAGAGTGATACTCTCAGGGAATTGCAAGTCATAGTCTTTGATAACCCGAGCTGGGATCAGCTGCATTATGAAAATATCATAAAGCAAAGCATCAAAACTCACAACCCAACGGTGTTAAATGGAAAGCTCTTTCACATTCAATTTTTTCTTACCAGTTGGCTTTTCTTCTTCGGATTAAGAGTCAGAGTAAAAGACGGGTTCTCGCGATCATCCAGATACTGTCTTTCATCGTCATCATCATCATCAGCCTCAGCATGAGAATCAAAAGCCTCAACATCATCATCATCTTCAACAGGAACATCATCAACATCATTATCAACAACATAGTCATCACCATCATTATCATCTTTCTCGACATCATCTTCATCAGCATAATCATCACTATCATTGTCTTCAACACAATTATAATCAGAATCATCATCATCCTCATCAAGAGATAGAACGTCACCACTAGCCTGATTTTCTTCACCACTATCAGATTCCATTTTGATCTCCTCGCTTTGCTCTGAGCTTCTTCTTATCCTTTTACACATTGTCCCATGCTCGTAGATACAGAAATTGAAGAGCCGAGAGCCATCAAACTCAAACTCCAAGAAATCTCCTCCCTTCAAATCTTCGTCCTTCACAAAGCTCTTCCAACCATTAACCATAACAAAGCTCTCAACTTCACTACCACATTTCCTCAACACCAATTTCCAAACCTTTCCATAAATGCTTCTAACAGTTACAGTTTCAGGCAAAGGCTTTGGTAAACAGCTGTTGAAAGAAATGGGTAGTACCTGAAAAGTTTCTACAAGTTTCAAGCAACCAGAAAACAAAAACCCAAAACAGAGTGACGAGAAGAGTGTTTTTACCAGATCATCTCCGGATTCATCAGGTAAATAAACTTTGAAGAATTTTGGAAGACAATAATCCCCAAAATATCCTGTTCCAAAGCAAGTAACGATCAGAACAGAGGATATATCGTGTAACTGTAGTAGAATCGAGAACAAAAAAGAGTCTAAAGAAGAAACCTTTGTTCATCTTTCACTTCTTTGTGCTCTTTGTCTCGCTCTGAAACCCTAACTCTTCGATCTTATAGTTTGATTAAGTGAATATTCCTTTTGTAGCAAAAAGCTGAGACTTGAACGCTTATTGCTTCAAATGGAAAAAGAAGACTTTAAGGAATAGTACACACTACTCTTTCTTCAATGTAGAGCTGAGATTTTGAAACCCTAATGTCCTGCTCGAACAGAAATGTGGGGAAATTTTTCCAAACGCAGTTTTCTCAGAAATGTGGGGAAATTTTTCCAAACGCAGTTTTCTCTGTTTTCGACCTTAGTAGCAAAAACTTGAAAACAGAGGTTTTTCTCTGTTTCTATACTTGTTGCTTCAAATGGAAAACCACTTTCAAAACGCCACCGTTTTAAAAGAAGATATTCGTTAGATAACAAAAGCATCGCAAAGGCCCACTGAAACATGGGCCTAGATTTTGGTCCATTCTAGATAAGTTAATGACAATACTATCCTAAAGAATACAGCCACAGAGACGAGTCGTGATGGGGTATAGTAGTCACTTCACTTGTTTCGACTGGCCAGATCGTCATCGTCTTCGATTTCAACTTCTCCCCGCTTATGTCGCCGGAAAATTTCGAACGTCTTTCAACATTCTCCGTCGTATTTCCGGCGAACCAATCTCAATTGTAAGTAGAAAAACCTCTAGCGATTCGAAATCGAGGTCTCTCAACGGAGAAGGTTCTATTAGATACCTCTGTCGAAGAAGATTCTTGGTTTCTGTATTTTGATAGCTCAGCTCTACAAATTCCTTAATCGAATCGTACCATTTTGACTCCAATCTGAAATATGCAACATTATCAGGATTCGCCTTCATCGTCAGCTACTCTTCATCTTTCTGAGTTTGTAGTAGTATTACTTAATGGACAAACTTGAAAGCAGAAGGAGAAATGTTTAGTGAATAGAACAAGGCTGAGTTTTTGTAGCTTTATTCTTCTCGTGTCTTCTGCTTCTCTGTCAACCGTTTTCTTAAGATCATATTCTTCTTACATGAACTTGCAGGTTCTAAACAGCCCTGGAGTTGGAATAACTTGGACCATACCGTGGAAGGCCACTGTCATGATTTCCTCCAAATCTATTAGACTATTAGATATAGTGCTATTGTTTGTGCTCTTTCTTATTTTGATTTGTAAGTTTGTAACCAAAAGTGGTGCCAACAAAAAAATACAAACCCAAACCCATTTGTGATTTTACTATAATGACTTTTGAGATTACTAACACAAAGGACGGCTTTTGTCCGAACTATGTAAGTACTATTTGTATTGGAGGACTTTTCCCTACTTATTGCAGGCAACAAAGCAACAAGATTTGTATAGACAACATCACCATGAGTTTTGTTGAAAGAGAAAACAGAGAGATTTAACGAGATTCAGGAACTCTATATAGAAAAGTCTTAATTCAACTTTAAAACATCTCTCACGACCAAATCCTTAGTTATAAACCAAATCCTAAGATAGACATTTTAGCATTGCTAACACAATAAAAAACCCTCTCACAGCTACGACTCATAAAAGCTTAGTGAAGAGATCATCCGCTGATAATCTTGACCTTGATGGTGTGAACCAGATTACTTCCAGTCCTCTTAAGCTCGCATATCATTTTATCAGTCATCTTCATTTTGTTCCTTCTGATGACACTACCAAATCCCTTGACAAAGATGGAGCCATTCTTTTGAATCTTGATTGCTTTCTCCAATGCTCCCAATTGGTCCACGACTGTTATAAGTGCGGGGAAGTTTAAGTCATAGTCCTTTATGACATGAGCCGGTATGTGCTGCATCAACAAAGAAACATCATAAAACAGATTGAGATATTCCCTACTAATTCATTCACATAAGAATCCATAACCAAAGATGTTAAATGGAGAGTGGAAAGAACTTTAACATTCAGCTTTTTTTTCTTACCAATTGGCTTTTCTTCTTTGGATTGAGTGTCATAGTAAAGTACGGGTTGTTGTGATTATCCAGATACTGTCTTTCGTCATTATCATCATCATCTTCAGCCTTAACATCATCATCATCCTCAGCCTCAACTTCATCTTCATCCTCAAGACCATCATCATCCTCAGCAACATCATCATCCTCAACAGCATGATAATCATCCTCAACAGCATAATCATTATCAGAATCGTCAGAATCATCACTAGCTTGAGTTTCTTCTTCACCATCAGATCCCACTTCGATGATCTCCTCGCTTTGCTCTGAACTTTTCTTAAGCTTCTTACACATAGTCTCATGCTCGTAGATACAGAAACTGAAACAACGAGAGCCATCAAACTCAAATGCCAAGAGATCTCCACCGTTCAGATCTTCGTCCCTTACAATCTTCTTCCAACCATTAACCATAACAAAGCTCTCAACCTCACCACCACATTTCCTCAACACCATTTTCCAAATCTTTCCATAAATGCTTCTAACAATTACAGTTTCAGGCAAAGGCTTTGGTAAAGAGCTGTTGAAAGAAATGGGTAGCATCTGCAAAGTTTCTACAAGTTTCAAGTAACCAGAAACCAAAATCAAAAACAGAGTGAAGAGAAGTGTGTTTTATTACCAGATCGTCTCCGGATTCACTAGGAAGGTACGGTTTAAAGAACTTTGAAGTAGAACCATCCGAATAATTTCCTGTTCCAAAATAACAAGAGGAAGAACATCAATGTGTCTAGAACAAATTACAAGGAAATCAGGAAGAGAGAAGTGAAAAACCTTGGTTCATTGTCGTCAACTTCTTGTGCTCTTGGAAACTCTCTGAAACCCTAATTTTGATCGGAAGAAAAAGGTGAACACAGTTTCTCTAGATCCTAGTTTTTCCAGATGTGATTTGATCTAAAGGTTTTGGCCTTTTGTAGCAAAAACTTGCAAAAACAGAGGGTTTTCTCTGTTTTGATGCTTATTGCTTCAAATGGAAAACAGACCATTAATAGTACTCTTCTTATTCAAAAATAATTCGTTAAGAGAACCAAAGTATCGCCAAGGCCCACAAAAATGGGCCTAAAGTTTGGTTCAATCTATATTCTGTAAATGACATTATCATCCTAAATAAAAGAATCACAGTGAAGAGTCAAGAAGGGTACTGTCGTCAATTAACGTGTTGGAAAGAACACTAGAGAAAGGACTTGTGTTGTGATATCTGCATCATTTAACCCCAAAGTTTGTATTAGTATTATCTCAAAATCTCAGCATTGCATCTAGTAGCTTCTTGACCAATGTACTTGAAAGAAGAATTAATGAGATATGTCAAGTGAGTTCCAAGTTTTGTAGCATTGTTTTCCTTGTGTATTCTGCTCTTCTGTTGATACTTGATAGATATATAAAACTAGAACTAACTACGTTTTTCTTACATGAACTTGCAGGTTCCAAACAACCCTGAAGCGTTAACCATGGTGTAAGAACTTGGACCTAAAAATGGAAGGCCAATTATAATGATTTCTCCCAAATACTTGATTTTTGCACTTCATGTTGCAGACACAAACAAAATCAAGAAGTAGATAAGATTCATAAATCAAAGTACTCTACTCATTTAAGAACTCAATATACCAAAGATAATGTCTTATTGTCAACGCATAAAACTTAATCAAGAGATCATCCTCTTATAACATGGACCTTGATTTCGCCAACCAGACCATCCATCTCCTTTACTAACTCACAAATCACTTTATCAGTCAACTTCACATTATTCCTTCTCATTATACTACGGAATCCCTTGATTGTTTGACCCTCAACTTTCCTCTTCAATTTACCGAACATTTTCTCGAGTGGATCAATCAGATTGATGAACTCAGGGAAGTGTAAGCCATACTTAGTTATGACCTTAGTTGGTATGCGCAGCTGCATTACAAAGAAAACATCATGAAACAGAAGTGGTACATTATTTTAAATTGATGCATAATGGACATGCAAAAAGACATGAGATTTTAACATTTCTTACCAGATTGTATTTTATTTGCCGATGCTGATTCACTGTAAAGAAAGGGTTCATGTGATTATCCAGATAATGTCTGTCATGTTCTCCAAAAGAACCTATCAAAATTTATACGCAAGAAATTAAAGAAGACAGTGGTGCTCTGTTAACTTCACAAGACAAAAGTTTCTATTATACCTTTCTTTTTTCTCTCTGTTTTAACTCCTCTCCATCTTTCATTCTCATCATCAGCATGATCATCGTCGCCATAATCTTGATCATCATCATCATCAATAACTATGATATCTTCACTAGATGTATCTTCCTCACCATAATCTTGAACATCGTTAATATCATCATTATCAGCATCATCGAGTACTGTAATAGCTTCACTAGATGTCTCTTCCTCATTATAATCTTGAACATCACTAATATCATCATCATCAAGAACTATGATACTTTCACTAGATTTTTCTTCGTCACCATAATCTTGATCATCATCATCAAGAACTGTGATATCATCACTATGTTTATCATCTTCACCATCAGATTCATCTTCGATATCTCCGATTTGCACTGAACTTCTAAGCTTTTTACACGTTGCACGGCCGTAGATACAGAAATTGAAACACCAAGAGCCATCAAACTCAAACTCCAAGAACTCTCCACCCTTCAAATCTTCGTTCTTTACAATCGTCTTCCACCCATTAACCATAGTAAATCTCTCAACATGACCACAACACTTCTTAAGCGCCATTTTCCAAATGTTTCCATAAATACTTCTAACAATTACATTTTTAGGCAACGACTTTGGTAAAAAGCTGTTGAAAGAGATGGGTAATTCCTGAAAAGGAAGGATCTAAAAGTTTCAATAAACTAGATATCTACATATAAGAAAAATCCAGAACAAACCAAAAACAGAGAGAATACAAGTGTGATTTTTACCAAATCATCTCCGGATTCATCAGGTAAGTACACTTTGAAGAACTTTGGAAGACAATCATCCCCAGAAATTCCTGTTTCAAAGCAAGAAAAAAATCAGAACATAGGGTAGATTGTGTAATTGGAGAATCAAGAACAAACAAGAGTCTAAAGATCTTAACATTTACACCAAAAAAAAAAAAAACAAGAGTCTAAAGAGTAAAGGAGAAGCACCTCTGTTCATCTTCACCTCTTTGAAACCCTAACTCTTGAAGGTGAAAATGATTTCTTGAAAATAGAAAATTAAAAGAGCTCGTTTATTGATCTCCAATCTTATGGTTTGCTTTAGAGATTTTGCCTTTTGTAGCATAACACAGAGACTGTCCTGTCTTCAACGCTCATTGCTACAAATGGAAAAAGAATGTGCTAACTACTTTTTTACTCCAATGCTCCATGAACCGAACCGAACCTATCTGGTTTTAATCAAACCGAAAAAATATTATCCTAAAACAAACCAAACCAAACAAAGGGTGAACGAAAATTTAAAATTCATTTGATTAAAAAAGTAAAAAATCCTATGCATTAAATAATTTCCTAAAATGAAAACTCAAAATAAAAGAAATGGGCTTAAAGTCCGGCCCAATCCACTTTTTGCTTTAAATGACAATATTAACCTGAGATTATAGAGAACGTTGGTCCGATCATCTTTTCAATTTCAAGTTTTTCAACCTCTTCCCGCTTACGAGGCCGGAATATTCTTTCAACAGTCGTATCTTACTTACATCGGCCGAACGATTTCCGATTACCGACTAGGAATTTCGCCTACAAGTTCCGACGTGCTTTCCTCAGTGTAAGTTTGAAAAACCCTAGCTAAACGATTCCGGATTTCCCAATTGTCAGATCTCGTACGCTGCTCGAAAGAGAAGCCAGAAATGGACAAGGATCTCTTAGATATCTCTGGAGAAGACGACGAAGATAATTGGCTTCTGAAAAATACGCCGAAGAAAGTTATTTCGGGACGAGAGAAGAGTTATTTGAATTGCTCACCTCTCCAAATCCCTAGATCTAGTCATATCGTTCCTACTCGGCCTCCTTTTTCCCCAATTGGTAAGCGATTCTATTTCTGGATCCGAGCTTCGTATTGAAATTAGTTTATCATTTACTGGAATTTGAGATTATCTCATCCTAGGAAATGTAAATCTGAATTAGTATACTTTTTTGTTTGAAATTGGCAATGTAGATGTTCAATGTGTAGTACAAATTCTGTGTATTCTGCGGATATATGAAGGTGAATTCTTTTTGCAGGAAGAGTAACTGGTACCAGCAACAACATAGAGCAGCCATGCGCTTCTGTTGATACAGATAGTGTAGGAAAGGAGAATTCTAAAGTTGAATTGCCCAAATTGAGTGTGGAGCGACAACAGATGAAGAAGAAGAAAAAGAATGCAGGATTTAATTTGCGCAAAAGTTTAGCATGGGATAGAGCTTTTTCAACAGAAGAAGGTGACCTTTTTTCTCTGTATTTGTTTACCATTCTCGTGTTTGTCGTAAAAGCTCAAAGGTTTAGTCTATGTTACTAAGAATCTAAGATGTGTGATATGGTCTTGAACCAGGTGTTTTGGATTCATCTGAGCTATCTAAAATAACTGGAACTGCTTGCCAATTTGGTGGAGATCGGTTACCTGCCATTCAAGAAGAGTTCAAAGAGTCAATGTCAGCTTCCAAATGTACTAGTGTTTCACCAGGACTACAAGCACTTGAAGAAAACTTATTTAACGACTTGCCTGTGAATAGTAAAAACAGAGAGAAGAAGCTTGTCAGTGCCATAATGCCCAAGTACGCATCACCATCGCCCAAGTATGCATCACCATCTAAATCCCAATCTTCCTCGGTGAGTTTAGTGGACATGAAATGAGCATAATTTTTATGAATCTAATGAGGGTGATCAGTCATTTCTTACAATGTTCCTTTCCTAGCCAAAAATAATATTTTAAGACGCATTCTATCTAAACGTTGAATGTCTGCATTATAGGCCCAGAAAAAAGTTATCTCAGCTCAGGATTTGAGGAGTGGTACCAAGCGTAGTGGCTGTCCCCGGCCTCCTCCTTCATCTTCATATCCTTTTCTTACTTAAGATGTCTGAGTGTTAAAGGCAATTTTTAATATCCTTAGCAGGTCTTGTTTTTTGTTCTTTTTGCTTGTTAACCTTAACTTCCCTGCACCCTGAAAAGACCTGCAAATGTGCATACAACAACATCACGTAGCAGGGAGCTGAGCATATGTAAAGCTCCTACTACCAAATCTGAGCCACTTACAGTTGCAAATAACATGAAAAGGAATACTCAAAGTCCAAGCAAAGCGAAAAAAAGTCAACCTACTCAACTAAGTATGTCCACATTCTGTTAGCAAATGGAAACTATTCATTTCATAACCTTTTTTGTTCTATTACTTTTCAGCAAATGCTTTTGCGACATCTTGTTTATATATTGATACATGATCGCATTACCTTGGTTTTTTCGTCTGATATGACAGAGAATTCTCAGAGGAGCTTAGGATCTGAAAGCTTCTCTAAAAACACTTCAAGCACCAAGAGTAAAACAAAATCCAGTGTGGCGAGTAAATCTTCAATTCCTAGGCCCTCTCTTAAGCAAGCTAGAAGAAATGTGGTAAAGCTAGGCTGCCCTCTGCAAACCAATATAGCATATAGTTTATGCACTAGAAATTTACAGCAAATGCTTTCTTTCCCATAGTCTTCCGATTGAGAGTAACGTATTGCATTTTCTTGAATTCTAGATCAGCAAAACATCAGAAATTCCTTCAGTATCCAACTCACAGCATTCTGTTGTTGCAAAGTCCAACGTTGGCCCTATGACTGCATCAGATGTGGCTATGTTTGGTCCTGCATCGGATATTCCAGAGTCCAATGTAATTTCTCCGGGAACCTCGTTAACTCAAAGTTCTTGCAATAGACTTGGAAACACGCAGTCCGCAGTTTCACGACTGGGAAAGCCATCAGGCTTAAGAGTGCCAAAACCTTCAATTGGCTATTTCAGTCAGGTATATTATTGAAATATACTGAATCCTTTGGTCATAACTATGGTTTTGTGATTGTAAATCTCTCATACTTCATATGCCTGATTTTTTGCAGTCTGACTCTCAACCGTCGCACAGCTCAGGAGACAAACATGGTCAGCTTCCCAGATCTGATGTTTCTTCAGCCTCTCATATTTCTTTGATCCCTACCTTCAAGAAACCTCTAGTTGCTGAAAAGCTTCCTGGTGTCAAATCCAAGGCAGCAACTGGACTTTTTGGCAGTTCAGGTTCAGCTGCAAGATTCTCTGCTCAATCTATATGTCTCAAACCTTCACAAGAAAAGGTGAAAGTGGACTTGCAAAGCACTCAGGAAGTAGAATCCAATGAGTTGTGTTGTTCATTGAGTTCTCAGATAAATGAAAATCTGCAGCACCAATTTGCCATTCAAGGTGATACTGGAAAGTTAGTTCTGGATGATGTAACTTATTGTACATCTGAGAAGAATTCTACTGCAAAGTGTCAAGAATTCCAGAGTAGCAGTGAGCTACCGCCATTAGGCTGCAAAAATAATGTGCAGGATGGTAGTAATATGTCTGACGATAAGAGTGATGAGAAAAGGAAGTCTTGCCGCTCAGTAGAAGAATACTGTGCTTTACCGCTGAAAGATTCTATGGATCTTCCAATGCAGGGTCCTCCTTCCGATGAGTTGACACTGTTTGATAACTACTCACAGTTGAAAGTTAGCAATCTGGGGGAAGAAGATATGTGTACTACCATTGATTTTAGTGGAGATTTTGATACATTGGATGTACATGGACAACCTCTAAATGAATGCGTGCAACCTGGAAATGAAGACGAGATTATTCCTTGCCTTTCTGGAGAAAATGATGCTTTAATTGTGTATCATTCTACTGAAAATGTAGCAAAGCAGCCTGAGGTTTTGGATTCCGTCACTGCAGACCCAACTTTCTTTGAAGATTTTGCTTCAATAAAGGGTGATGTAGACGATCTATCGTCTTCAGAAAATCAGTTAGGTAATACCAAATATGTTTCCGTACCTTTGGGGCCTTCTGAAGCACCAGATTGTGTTCAATCACCGTGCAATCATCTTGAGGAAAATGCGGTGGCGAACTCTATTTTGTGTGATCATAACATGGTGTGTGATGGTCAAGCTGTATTAGAAACGGAGAAGAGAATTGAAATAAGCGAAAGCACAGAGACAAAATGTGAGGCTGATTTCATTGGTCCAATTTCCGAATGCAAAGACTGGTTTAGAGAATCTGAAGAACAACATTTGTCGGGCCAATTAGTCCTTGAGGTCAAAGAGGGTGGTCATGAGATAGATGTCTTGATCAGAAATGAAGGAGCTGATGGGCCTGGTAGGCAGATAGAATGCTTTACTGGTTCTTCTGATGCTGACAACATGGAACAAGTGAAATCACTAAGGCCTTCCTCCGTTGAAGTTAGAATGGAGATTAAACCTCTGGAATCATCTCATGAACCCTTCTCTGAGAAATCAACTTCTGAAAAGCTGAGGCAATACAATTGTTCCAGCAGTGAAAATTCATCTGATGTAAATGATGGTTGTGTAATGCAACAGGCGGATCAACTTGGAACATTAGTTGGTTGTTCTCCAGAAAAAGACGCATCTTCTGCTGTTTTCTCTTATTCAAATGAGGAGCTTGAAGATTACTCTGAGCTGGAAGACATGGATTTGGGTACAGACTCAGATTGTTCAGATGAGGAGCCTGAGGATAATTTGGAGCGGACAGAGGTGCATGGGGTTACTGATCCTGTGCTCATTAGTGACCTTGATGAGTTTTCTGTCAAGGGCATTCTTAATCAAGAATATCCCCAAGAAGAAGATTTCCATACTGCATCAGACCTGTGTGGAAAAACTAAAACTCTACTAAGTGAATCAATCAGTTCCTCGGATTCTATATTTGGAGATCCTGAGTGTCTAAATGAGGGCACAGATTTTTCCAGAATCTCTGAAGGCATGTCAAAAGAGGATTCAAATTCTGGACGTATTGAGCATAAATATGTTGTAAAAGCTGAATACCAGATAGATGCTACAAAGGATTTCAGTGCACAGGTTACTGGTCAAGAACTCGTCCCCGATGAACGAGAGGAAGTTAAAGTTGTAAAGATCTCTCCTGCTCCTGTAGTATTTGCGCTCAGAGAGGAAGAATCAGGAACTCCTATACCAACAAAAGAGACTTTCTCAGTCAGAGATGATAAGCAGATTAATGAGTTCAATATACTCAGCGATGACATTTTGACATCAGAAACCGATGCATCAGAAGGCAAGGAGAAGATGATACTACTGTAAGTAATCTCCACCAGTAAACCTTTTCTATTCCTCCAGTGCAGCTTAATTTTAAGAATTGGCTGATAATTCACCGTTTCAACAGGGATACGAAACTTGAGAAGAAACCTGATCCTATAATTGTAAAGCCTCCAAATGCTGTTCCATTTTCTGATGAGTGGTTAGCTGCAATTGAGGCTGCTGGGGAGGTATATATTCCTCAAATATATGAATGAAAACCATGATGATAAACTGAAGACCCACTTGCTGTTATTGCATATGATTATGATATATAATTATTTTTGGCAATGCCTCAGCAGAACTCTTCTGTTAAATATGCAGGAAATCTTAACACTGAAAAGTGGACGTGTGCAACATTCACCAACCGAGAAATCTGCTCCTGAACCAGGTCCTTGGTCTCCGGTATAATCCTCTCTCCCTCTCTCCCTCTCTCATTACCATTTGGTGTTGATAAAAGGAAACAACCAGATGAAACAATGGGATTTTCAAAACCTTTGGACTTGATTAGTTTGGTTGACTTCTACCAGTGCGGTAGATAACAACACTATGTAAAGAATACAACTCTTAATTTTTCTATAATGTTCATTAACTGACCAACTTATCAAATAGCTTCATTCAAAAGATAAGTATATGTCGTAAAATTAGTTCATGAAAACTAACTTGAAGAAACCATTTGGTCTTTTGTGATTGCCAGGTCAAGAAGAAGAGCAATCAAGTTGTAGGACCATTTGACTGTACAAAGTATAATAACAAAGGTCTTCCTCCTGCTTTTGACTGAAGAAAACTAGGTTTCTTCTACCTTAACCATTTTTATTTGTTTTTTTTACCCTTTTATCATAACTACGAGGAGGTAAAACTTTGTTGAAAAACGCTCACTTTATGATTTTGTATACCTGAGAAATAAAATATGTAGAAAGCACTTGTTGTTGAGGCACGAATGGCTTCCACACGAGCTATTTTTCCTAATCACATGTTGAGATTTATGATGAATACAAGTGAACATGTCGTGCATTTTCTATTCAGTTCCATGACATTTACAAGCTTGGGACCAAATTTGTGATTTGTTAAGTGTCCGATCAGGCTAAATCATCATTATGGACCATGACGGGTTTGCCTGAAACCGCATCACTAGTTGTCTTCTTCATTTCATGATAATTGACATAAACAACTCAATTAAACCTCCAAGTAAGAAGTTGATGAACATTCAGAAGGGTAAATTCATGGTAAGCGCAAGCAACATAACATGGCTATAAATCCTTTTATTATTGTAATTTTAATTCCTAACAAAGGATAAAGATTTTATCAGTTCCAACTTAAACAGAAATAAGATTTAAGCTCCACTCAAACATCGACAGTGAGTTTAGCGTCAAGGTGAGTGAACTCTTGAAAGAAAGCTTTAAAGTGGTCATATGAATGCTTCACGTCATCTGCAGCACACATCTCACGGATGCTATGCATCGAGAGCTGAGGAGCTCCAACATCAACCGTCCTTATCCCCACACTGCTTGCTAGGATTGGACCAATGGTCGATCCGCAACCCATATCATTACGTACCACAAAATCCTGAAATATTCATGTCCATACTCATTTATAATATGTAGAAGTATGAACATTTTTTTGGATCTCTCTCAGGCAAATCATACCTGAACAGGCAGATTATGCTTCTCTGCTATCTCTCTGAATACAAAGGAAGTTACGGCGTTAGTAGCGTAACGTTGATTTGCATTGTGTTTGATGACAAGTCCTCCGTGCATCTTCGGCTGATGATTCTCTTCGTGTTTATCCTAAACAATGAAAACATAATGCAATGAAGGATAGCCATCAACTTATGAGCATGGAAATGAAAAAAATATTGCCAAATGAAATGATTACCATAAAGTTCGGATGTAAAGCATGTGCCATATCAGCAGAAACGAGCAAACTTTTTTGAATCGCTTTCTTGAGCACCTGTAACAATTAAACAATAGTGAACTATAATGAGCGACAAGAAACAAAATTATATAAAGTATAACACAATACCAGTTTAATGTCTATCACTCGTATGGGTTGCTACCTTAGTGTCAGAGCTGAAGCAACTTGTGATGTGTGACATAGCATCAATCATGACAGGGGATCCAGCTCCTTGCGCTGAATTGGAGCCAACTTCTTCATGATCAAATAGTGCCACCATTCTTATTCCGCTTTCTTCCTCTAAGTCACTTCCAGAAGATGTTGCATCTATAAGTGCCTGTGTACAAAATTCAAATATTTGAAGATACAAGATTGTCTACATCACTTTTCCTTCAAGCAAACACCCCAAGGAAAGTTGGTCTGCAGTGAAGTTGCATCATTGTTCAACAATATACAGCAGCATAATGGATAGAGTTAAAATATTGGGTTCCGTTCAAAGAGGAGAACAAATTGTTAGAGATGTTCCACTTAGATTGTGATCCAGAACAAAACTTACACTAGATATGAGTTAACATACTTGTACAGAAACATCTACAAGGTGGAGTAATTTAAAATTGGGCTTGAAACACAAGTCTCTTGAAATGTGCAGAACATGGAGAGAGTGGAAACCAACTAAGGCACAATCAAGATTAGTAAATATAGACCATGGACTCCTATTCTCCTCTAAAAGTAAAAGTAAAGGACATACCTTCAGAGAGCAAAATGACATGCAGAGATTATCTAGCCTTCCCGAGAAAATAAATTCTTTAGCTGCACCAGCTAGTATACTTGGCTGAGTGTCACATGCTTGCAGCTCAAAGTCGCATATCTCCTCAGGTTTACAACCCAGTGCGTTTGCTATGATCTAAGAAATTAAATAGAAGACTACTTGATTACTAAACCAGAACAAGATCAAAAATTCAAGCTAAAACCATAAAATATTTCAACTGGACCTCCATTAGAAGCGGATGATGCTTTGATTTTGAACTAGTTTCAGCACACTTCTTTCCTCCGTCATGTTCACCACCTTCTGCTGGCGTTTTATTGAGCTCCGCCTTCAAATTTATATCACACAATATAAATAAATTGCAAAGGAAGTAAGAATTCAAGTCTACTATAAACTTGATAACAATGGTTTTGACTTCATAGATAAAACTACCTTCACTTGGACAACATAGCAAGCATAGCAAATAGTGCGTGATCTCAAATAGTGCGTGAAATGCAAACAAATGCTTTAGGAATACTAAATGAAAGAAACTTGGACAACATAGCAAGCATAGAAAGAGCACCTTGATAGCTGTTGCCAGTAATGGAACGAGGTGTGTCTGAGTGTTTGGCTTAAAACCTTCAGTGTTCACATTTCTGTCCGCAAGGCAAAACGAAACGTTCAATATTAAGTTCTCTCCATAGAGTAACTGAGAAATATATAGTCTGTTTTATAGCAAACACAATTTTTTTTTAAAAAAGTCTAAGAAGTATTCCAATACAAAGCAGTGATTTAAAGGTAACCTGTCCAAGTGAATGGCCAAGGTAGGGATCCTCATGATAGGATCCTCAATCCTGACAAGGCGATGAGAATACGAGACAGAACCTGCTTTCTCCTCTTTTAGAATAACACGTCCCGCAACAGTCAAGTCACGATCAAACCAGGTGTACCACAGTCCACCTCCATATGTTTGAACACCAACCTCCAAGCATCCACCTTTAGTTATCTGTGAAACACCATCCACACTTTCTTGTCAAAAAAACAGAAGATTTTAAGTAAAACCGCTGGCGAAAATGTCAAGATCCCAATCAAAAATCACCTTGGATACAGGTTTCAATTTGAGGCAAGGACTATCAGTGTGAGCTCCAATAATATGGAACCCGTTTCCAGCTACGTATCTATTCAAAAAAAAATTCAAAAGATTAGCGTTTAACATTGTAGCCATAGATGGAATCATTTGGTTGAGAAGAAGAAGAAAAAGATGGTACTTTTGACCAATGGCAAAAGCAACAATAGTGGAGTAATTTCTGGTGAAGAAGTATTTTTTGCCGGCTTCGAGTTTCCAATCATCTCTCTCTGATATCTGTTCATACCCAGCTTTTACAAGCTGCCTCTTTGATTCGTCTACACATAATCAATAGTAGATCAATCAAACAATCAATATTAGAACTGAAATAACAACGATGTTGAGATTTGAGCAGACAATCAATTGATTTCTGAAGAGGAAAAGAGATGGGTGATGAGTGACGTTACCGACGGCGTGAAAAGCGGTGGGAGAAGCATTGAGAAAGGAGAGGAAATCAGAGACAAGGGAGCTCTTATCCATGGCTCTCACTCTTGTGGATCTCTTAACTTGGGTTCTTCAGGTTTCTGTGAGGAGCTCTCCAATGGATGTTCGCTAGCAGGAAGAGAGAGAGAGAGAGAGAGAGCTCCGGATTTGTCCCGTTCGATTTCCGATCTTCCCTCCGTCTTAAGACTTGCCGGAGCTTCTGTTTCCGTTTTTGTAACCCGAGAAGTTGTATTGGCCCATTACAAAGCCCAATTGGGATGATTTTTAATGATATTTTTAAAAAAACAAAAAAATTCGATCTCGTTAATAAGAAAGAAAAAAAAAGTTTATAACCGTCCACTATGGTAGTTTGGATTCACACTGAATATTTAGGGGATGTTATTCGATTCTGCATAAGTTAAGAAATTTTTAGATACTTTTATAAAAGATTTTTTGGAGAATATCACCTTTACCATCTAGGATTTTGAAAGTCTTTAAAACTTGTTTTAAATAAATAAAAAATTTAAAAGTCAATTTAATATAATCTGAAAAACAAAGAATATAAGAATTGAAATATATGTTAATTGACACAAAACCCACTTTAAGTATATCTTATGTCTTTAAATCTTCTTCATTTCTCTAATTTCACCCGCTATGGTGAAGTAAATTAACGTTTACAAAGAAATTTAATACAGTAATTATAAAGATTAGTAAAAGCATATGTAGGCTCGTAACTTCGAGTGACTGAGAGACGACTCTTCAACTACACTCAGCAAGTAGCCGTTTCGGTGGAATAATGCAGAAAAAGATCAAACGATCAAGGTCCTTAACAAATCTTTTTGTTTCAATTGATGGCATGATGAAATTTATTGTCAAAAGTTATTGATCCACTCATTTTCTTATTTAATCATTACAATTTTCTTATTAGCCATCTGATCTCCATAGTTTTTATTTTTATTTTTGCAAAATAACTATGAGATAAGACTTAATTAGCAAAATGATCATTCATTATATTCCTTTTTGTTGATCAAAAGAATTTGGAAAATACTTTTGGATGGGTTGCGCTCGAAATTTTTATTCTTATGACGTGATATGTATGTACATCATGACATAGAATTAACGCACTATTTAACAAAGTAACTATAGTTTGATTTAACTGGGCTAAAATAAAATGTGACTATGATGTTGTCACTTATTTACTTACCTAGATAAATAAAATTTTGTAGTCATATACACTATAAATACCCATCCTTATATATGGTTGGATAATTTTGGTAATAACATAAAACTTCCCAAAATTTGAAGATTTGATGTGGTTTAGTAATTTTGGTAGTAACATAAAAAAACCCCTAAGAACCGGTCAAATCAACCGGATAACGAAAACCAAACCGGACTAAATAGTAATAAAATTAGAAATCGAAGGGTAATAAATTATAGAAACCCTTTTTTATTATTTAAGAAGACAGCAACGTGGATCTGGCAGACAAAGGAAATAATAATATAAAGAGGGTTAAAAAAGCCATCGTCTCAAAAATCACAGCCATCCATTTTCTCTCTCTAGCGCTCTCTCGTTTGAGCTTCCTTTTTTCCTCATCGCAATCTTCTTCAATCTCCAGCAATCTCTAATCGATCCTTCTCGAATCGTATGTTTTCTCTTTTACCTCTTTATTATTGAATCTCTCTTCCTTGTCGTTGAGTTTGAATCTGCTGAATCTCAAAACCCTAATTCTGTTTG